GGACACGTTGACCTGCCCTTCACTGAGCATCAGCTCCACGTGGCCCAGCCCGTCCCCAAGGCGGGAGAAAAGTAGCAGCCCGGTGAGGTCCCATGTTCGGAAGCGAAAGGAGACGGCCAGGCGGCCGCGGCGTGGGAAACCAGGCACTTGCACGAAGTTGTGGGGGCCTCCGAAGTTGATGGGGTGCGGAACTGGGTCCAGGCAGCGGAAGGCCACTTTACCCTAGGGACGAAAGTGAGGACGCATCAGCACCCGCAAGCCGGTGCACCCGTTTCTGCCTCTGCTGGAAATTCAATTTTCACACTGGTCTAAGACCCTTGTCCCGCACTCCTTCGGTATTGACAGGGGTGAGACCTCCAACCATGACCCCTCCCCTCTAAGCCTGTCCCTCTGTGGACCGAGGCCCAACCAAGTCGGCCCTCGGAACTCTCGGCTCGGAACTCTCCGCTCGGAACTCTCGCGATCGCTCGTCTACACCTTCTGCACGGCGTCTGCTTCTTTCTCTTCTTTCCAGTGTCGAGAGGGAATATTGGGCCACAGATCTAGCTCCCACCAGCAGTGCAAGCATATGAGCGCTGGAGTTGGATGTGTGAGGGGAGCATGTAGCAAAAGAACCCTGGGTTCAAGTTTCTACCCAGCTACTGTGCAACTAACTGCACGACCCCTCGTCAAGCCACTCCTGTCTCTGCGCCTCATTTTCCTCCTCTATAAACTAACGAGGTCATTGGACCTGATCACAGCTTCTTAGCTAGTTGAACCTCAGGTGAGACCCTCCACTTGAGAATGTGGCTGGAGAGAGAGGGGTCCCGGGCTTTCATCTGAGTCTCAAGATCTCTTCCTGCTCCACCTCTTTGCTTGCCAAGAGGCTTTGGTATCCTGCCCTCCCAGATCCCCCTGCCCACTGGCCTCGAAGGTGATCCGTGAATGGCGCCGCACAGCCAGGTCCGCGATGTTGACGCGGTTGAAGATTACGTTTTCCATGCAGCCGCGGAAGTTATGCCGATAAGCGAGGTTCTTCTGCGCAGCGCCCACCAGACCCCCAACGAATATCTGCGGGAGGGGTGGGGAATGAGGTTGCCCGGGCACGGGAGCGCGCCTGCCTTTCTCGTGCGCGCTGGCCATACTCTTTCCCAAGCACTAGGCCGTGCTTTCTGAAAGACTTGAAACACACATTTTCCCAGTGTCGGTCCCGCCCACGCCCACTCGCCCAGCACCCCTCCTAACCAAATGGCACCTCTCCCTTCTCTCACTTCTGTGTCCAGGTTCAGCCTCTCAAAGTCGCCATTGAGCACGAAGCGCTGCACATAGCCGTCCAGGGTGAGATTTGCGTCGCGACCAAATCGGTCCACGCGCACGTAGTGCCAGTGCTGGTCGTTGAGGACACCGCCGGCGCTCAACGTAGTGTGACCCGGTCTTGGTTGGATGGGGCTGCTGCCTGAGGGTGGAGCGGGACAGAGTGAGACCTCAAGCTAGGACATCTCCAGCTAGTCCTAGTCCCAGAGGGAGCAGCAGCGGGCAAGGCAGAAAAGGGACTGCAAGACTGCAGCCATTGGCGAGTGTGTGACTTAGGGTAAGCCATTTAACCTCTCCCAGCACCTGTTTTCCTATCTGTAAAAGATGGAGCACGACAGCTGCTTCTATCTCATCACGGGGGTGTTATGAAAACCTAATGAGAAACAAAATAACTCTGTGTGTGTGTGCGTGTGTGTGTGTTCACAATGAGCTTGCTGAGGCTCCAGGAAATGCCTTGTCCAAGGTCACCCCACTGGTAAGCGGTAGAGCTGAGACTGGAATCCAGTTCTCCAGACTTGGAGTCCAGTGTTTCGCTAGCACCTCCGGCGGCGCGGAGGAGGTGCCTGGAGGCACGCGTAGGAGAGCTTCGGCGGTAGGCCCGGTCGCTCAGCTCACCCAGGCTCATGTGTAGCAGCAGGTGCGCCCCCTGCAGCTCGAGCGTCACGTAGTCGCCCTGGGCGCCCTCGGCATGCAGCAGGAGCCCGTCCTTCTCCTCGGTCTTGAAGCTGAAGGCGAACACGTCCCACAGGCTTCGGCTGACCCCTCGCGGGAAGCGGTACGAGATGGCATCGTCACCGTCGAAATAGAGTATGTCGGACTCTGCGCAAAAGACCGTAGGTGGGCCGGGGGCGGGGGACTGTCCCGGGCCCCCGCGGTGATCTCCGCACCCTTACTGTAAGGGCAGCCGTAGAGACCGAGCCTCAAGCCGATCTTGCCGCGCGGGTTCCAGGCCAGGGGCACGATGCGGATGTAGCGCGCGGTGAAGTGGTAGTGCAGGTCGTGGCGCACCACCGCCGACTCATTCACGTTACCGAAGAAGGTCTGCAGGGGAGGAGGAGAATAGTAACCACGTCCCTACCCTCTGCTTCCTTTCTCCCCAGCATCCCAGCCTGCGGCTTTCCCCCAGCCAATCTCGACTTCCGGAAAACAAACACTCCTGATCTCCCCTGCCCCCGTGGCTTTGCGCACACAGTTTCCCTGGCCTAAAGTGGCCCCCCCCAATATCTTATTTATTTCCTCAAACCTCAAATCAATGTCACCTCCTTAGGAAGCCCTCCCAGATTTTACACTAAAGTGTGCTAAGCCCTGTGATCTGAGAGTGTCTTGCACATGTGGTGAGCTGCCAGTCCCTCTGGACGGAGTTTCCAGAGGGGAGTCACTGCTCCTCATCTGAGCCCTCACCACCGCCCCCTCCCTTTCTCCTCAGGCTAGTGCCCAGCCCAGGGCCCGAGCACAGGAGGCTCCCCAAGGATGCGCGCCTGGGCGCCCAGAGTACCGCGTTGTGCCCTCGCTGGTAGAACGGCGTCCAGCTGTCCACGCGGTCACCATAGAGCAGCATGTAACGAGTGACCCAGTCCCAAGAATTAAAGGAGCCCTGTGTGGCCACAGCCCGGATCCGGTGCTTCTTCATTAAGTCTATCTGAAGCCAGGGATTTGGATCCCCAATCCGAGGTGACCATCCACTTATGCCTATAGAAGGGGCAGAGGCTTTTTACCACCGGCTACCCCTTCGCCCCACCCCCGCCCTTGGGAATCCCTCACCCCGCCGCCTGGCGGTGCGCTGCCGGTGTGCCGCGGAGCTCACCGTGCAGCCGGGCAAAGCGCGGCGTGGTGAACAGCCCATAGTAGGAGGAGGCGCCCAGGGAGCGTGCATACAGGGGCCCCACTAGCTCCTCGTCGCAGCCGTCTGGAGTAGGAAAACGGACATGTTAGTCACCGCCGGCCCCTCCCAGGCCCTTCCAAAAGCCAGCCCACTGAGCAGCCAGTAGCCGAAGCTCCCCCATCGCTGCTCCCCAGCGGCACACCCAGCCCTACCTTAAAGCCATCTATTCAATCCTGGCTGCAGCAACAGCTGCGCGCTCAGAGGAGGCTGCCTTCTCCTTCTAGGGTAACCCCTAGGCTACACCTACAGACCAAGGCCAGACCCTCCCTATCCCAGTATCTGTCCTGGTTTAGTACTGCCCCAAACACAATTCCAAACCTCAGCACCTCCCAAAACCTGAGTCAGCGCAAGACACTAATCCAGCTCAAACCTTAGCGTCATTCTCACTCGCGAGCCCCCCAAACCTGCACCAACCCCAAATACAAGCCTTGCTCCCAAACCCAGCCAGTCCTAGCACCATCACCAGTTCCTGTCCAGCCTCAGCATCAGTCAGAGTCACTTGGATCCTAGCCACAAAACCCAACCCCAGCCACAAAACCCAGCCCCAGCTACACGCCCTAGCCCCTTGGCCAGCTCCAAAGTCCGGCCCCAGGCCCTGGCAAAACCTTAACCCTAGTCTCGGTCACCGGTACCACACTTTTCCCCAACCCAAGCCTCAAACCCAGGCACCAGCTCCCGCTTAGATTCCAGCCCCAAATCCCTACCTACTCCATCCTCGCCTAGGAGCCCGGCCCCAGCTCCGGGCACGCGCGGCAGCCTCGGAGCTGCATTGCGGAGCGCGGGGGAGAAGCAGGAAAAGATGGGAGCGAGCGGGCGCGCGCCGGCCAGGAAGGACCCGCGACCACCCAGCCGCAATGCGGTTCGGGGCCGCCCTGCAGGCTCTTGACGCCTGTACACAACCCCACCTCCCTCCGAGCCCAGCACTCACAGTAGCCCCAGCCCCGGGCTCCTGAAACCGCAGCGAGCAAGATGCAGAAGAGCTGGAGACGCATCATGCAGGGCGGACGGTCCCCAGCAGCCGCCTCTCTACGCCCAGCTCTGGCTAAGGCTCCCAGCTCTACTCCTGGGGTTTTCAGCAGACCTCTCTCTCCTCCTTACCCACCCCTCCCTTCCCTCTCTCCTTTCTCCCCCAACCCTACCCTCTCTCTCTCCTTCTCTCTCCTCCCCCCCACCCCTGTCGTTCCTGGTGCTCCGCTCTTCTCTCTCTCTCCTCTCCTTTCCACCCTCTCTCCTCTCACCTCCCCCCTTCCCCAGCCTCTCTCTCCTGGCACGCGCCGTTTTCCCGGACCCCGCGCAAGCGCGCGCCTCAGCCCTGCTGCTAAAGGGTGGGGGTAGAGAGCCTCCAGCCACCGGGAAATACCCCGAGTAACCCGAGGTCCGCAGGGACTTGGGCCAGACGGGTCCTGAAAAATCCAAGAAAAGGGAGGAGAGGAGGGGAGTGCCCCGAGATGGGATGTAGAGTAAATAAAAGAATCTAATATTTTCTGAAGGCAAATTATGCTGCAGGCATGGTGCTGGATACTCCCTTAACACTATGAATTCAGCATTTTTACCTTACTTCACTTTGCAGATCAAAAATCTGAGGCTCAGAGAGGTCAAAAAACTTACTCAAGATCACACAGCAAATGATGATATTTCAAAACCCACTCTTTTTCCACTGGGAGGGTAAAGAGAAATTCTTTTAGGGGAGGTGGAAATGGAAAAGTGAGCCCCACAGACCCTAATCCCCACCTCTCTTGTGGCCCTCTCCCCGCCCCTTCCTTCCTGTCCCACTAGTTGTTTAACTTCTGCCCTCTGCGGCTATACCTCAGAAACCTGTGTAGCCAGAGATGGGGACCGAGCCCACAGAACAGGTGGGAGTGGGGGCAGGGAGGGGGAGAAGGGTTACAGAGAGGGAGGGGACAGAGAAGGGATGGGATTCCCCACCTGGTAACAGGCCTCCACCATCCTATGACCTATGTGGGATTCCTGGAGCTATCTCAGACTCGGGTCCTCCAGATAGATGGGGCTGGTGGTGTGAGGCCGGGTTGTGGGACAGGGACTGGGGCTAAGGGGAAGGGTGAGTTGAACCGAGTGGTCCAAGGTCCCAACTGAGCTCAGAAAACCTGAGCCCCAACCCTTGAGACTCCCTTGGCATGAGTGGTTCAGTGCACCTTTACTGGAGGTAGCGGTGGGGTGGGGGGAGGGAAAGGATCCTGATCAAGCTTGGAACCCAGGACCGAGGTCTGAGGCAAAGCCTGCATATGGGCATCCTTCCAAGAGAGGGCGCTGCAAAGGGACTTGAAGCTCTAAGATTTATTAATAATACAAAGGCTTGGCCTTTGGAGAGCACATGCCACATCCATTATCTTCCATATTTCAAACAATCCTCAAGCAAACCTTGCCAGGTGGGCTGGTCAGGATGTCTAATCTCTCAACACTACGTATTAGGTAACTGAGGTCCAGAAGGAGCAAGTGGCTTGCTCAAGGTCACCCAGGAAGCTAGAAGCAGAGGTAGGAGGGATGCAAGGGAAGCCAAGGTCCGCTGAGGCTGTGCTAGAAGAGTCTGTAGATTTGTTTTCTTCCCGGTTACTGTTATACCTGGTCACATAGGAGCTCCCAGCCTGCAAGGCATGTGTGGGAAGGGCAGGTGTGTGGGAAGATGTCTCATAAGGTCCCTCCTCTTGTATTGACCTTCCCAGGTTTCCTGGGGCCTCTACTCTGGGGATGACGAGGAGGCATACTCAGCTGAGCCGCTGCCGGAGCTCTGCTACAAGGCGGATGTCCAGGCCTTCAGTCGGGCCTTCCAACCCAGTGTCTCCCTGACTGTGGCTGCGCTGGGCCTGGCCGGCAATGGCCTAGTCCTGGCCACCCACCTGGCGGCCCGACGCGCAGCTCGCTCGCCTACCTCCGCCCACCTGCTCCAGCTGGCCCTGGCCGACCTCCTACTAGCACTGACCCTGCCCTTCGCAGCAGCAGGGGCTCTTCAGGGCTGGAGTCTGGGAAGTGCCACCTGCCGGGCCATCTCCAGCCTCTACTCGGCCTCGTTCCACGCCGGCTTCCTTTTTCTGGCCTGTATCAGCGCCGACCGCTACCTGGCCATCGCGCGAGCGCTCCCAGGCGGGCCGCGGCCCTCCACACCCGGCCGTGCGCACTTGGTCTCAGTCATCGTGTGGCTGCTGTCGCTGCTCCTGGCCCTGCCTGCGCTCCTCTTCAGCCGGGACGGGCAGCGGGAAGGCCAGCGACGCTGTCGTCTCATCTTCCCTGAGGGCCTCACGCAGACGGTGAAGGGGGCGAGCGCCGTGGCGCAGGTGGTCCTGGGCTTCGCGCTGCCTCTGGGCGTCATGGCAGCCTGCTACGCGCTGTTGGGCCGCACGCTGTTGGCCGCCAGGGGGCCCGAGCGCCGGCGTGCGCTCCGCGTCGTGGTGGCCCTGGTGGCGGCCTTCGTGGTACTGCAACTGCCCTACAGCCTCGCCCTGCTGCTGGATACCGCCGATCTACTGGCTGCTCGCGAGCGGAGCTGCCCTGCCAGCAAGCGCAAGGATCTGGCACTGCTCGTGACCAGTGGCTTGGCCCTCGCCCGCTGCGGCCTCAATCCCGTGCTCTACGCCTTTCTGGGCCTGCGCTTCCGCCAGGACCTGCGGAGGCTGCTCCGGGGAGGGGGCTGCAGTTCAGGCCCTCTCCCCCGCGGCGGCTGCCCCCGCCGGCCCCACCTTTCTTCCTGCTCAGCTCCAACTGAGACCCACAGTCTCTCCTGGGACAACTAGGGCCGCCAATCTAGAGGAGGGGGCAGGCTGAGGAGACGATTCCAGGAGGGTAGTGGGAAAGGGGAGTAGGTGGGGGGAAACAGAGAAAGAGGTAGGACCTAAAGGGATTGCTTCTGTGCCTTGCCACATTAAATTGATAACATGGAAATGAGATGCAACCCAACAACTGTTACTATTTTTGAGTCACCGACTTGGAAGTGATTTGTTGCAGGGCAGAGCTGGTGGGTTAACCCCCCACCCCCACCCCCTGGCGCCCTGGCTCTGAGTGGAAGGCGCTCAGGGCCTGGGTGGGGGTGGGGGCTGCTAAGTCTGCCAAAGCTCTAGCCACTGACACTCCCTCCACCTTCACGCAGTCTCTGGCAACAGAGGTGAGGTGGGAAAGCTGCCAGGCAAGGAGGGGCGGGGGTTCCTCTTGAAATAGTGTAAGGAAGAGCTTTCTAACAACCAGAGCGCTATCCAGTAATGGCTGCCTTAGCAAGTACCGAGTTCCCGGCTTCTGGAATGTTCAAACTGTTGGGGACTCTTGTGTGTCTTCGCGTGGTGTGGGGTAGGAGTAGGGCAGGAGATTCGCATTTGGGTGGGCATTTGCATTAGATTACCACTTTACAATCCTTTCTAAGGTCCTGTGAAGGAAAGAAAAGAAAAAAATCAATTTAGAAAGTTGAATTTGTCACCTTGGAGAAGAGCCAAAGAGGGAATTGGCACTTTGCAAATTCCCAAAAAGTAGGTATTATGGGCGTGGTGGGGGTGGAGGATGCTTGCTGTTCTCCATTTTCTCTGGGGACTGGGTGGGGAAATACACTGAGGTGGTCGGAAAAAGAGAGGTTAGACATTGGAAAGAACTTCGGTGCAGGCAAGGGCCTAGGATCCAGACGGAGAAAAGAGCAGATGGTTGTGGTGGTGTCTCCATTCCTAGGCAATCTCTGCACAGGCCACTCTCATCCGGAGAGAGGGCACGGCCGAGATGGCCTTTAGAGACCATCAGATTGATTCCTGGTCTTTGTTTTACACAGTCACAACGGGCAGGATAACGTTCACGTGCAACAATCCTCGCAGTTTAATATCCGGTCAGCAAAGCTGTCCCCACGGCTCCAGCCAGGAGTCTAGGGGCTAGAAGGGCGGGGCGGGGCCATGAGGTCTCAAGGGAGGCGCTGCCTGACCGCCCCGCCCTGTCCCGCCCCGCCCCGCCCAGCCCGGGCTAGCAGTCCTTCCCAGATCCTCGGGCAGCCGAGACCTAGAGCCACTGCCTCTAGGGGCCAGGATCCAGGGAAGGCCCACGGACGGCGCCGATCCTCAAGGGTCCCGCACGGGGGGCCGACCTGGAACCCTCCACTAGAGACCGCGGGAATCGCCGCTGAGTCAGCAACGCGCGCGCGCGCCTGCTGTCCCCGCGGCCCCGCCCCGGCCGCCTAGTGTCTGGGTTAACCCCTTCTTATACAGAACAGCAGGATATTCGTCCTGGGAGGCCTCCGCTCTATTCGGAGACCACAAAATTCCCTAGAATCCCAAGACACTCTCCCCACCTGAGTTCAGTGAGCTGTGTGCACTCTGAATTCGATTTTATTTCCAGCTCAGGTCTGCGCCTTCCCGCGGTCCTTGCCTCAACTTCTTCGCTTCAAAAAGGAGGTGACTCAGACCTGGGAACTGGACTCCTTCACCCGAGGGGTGGAGGGCTAGCTCTAGAGCTGTGCCCGGCGCAGGTCTGGACATCCTCTGGGCAGCTAAGGCTCTTTGCTTAGTCAGGGACCCTGAGATGAGACAGGGTTCACAGGGCAGCAGTTGGGTTTTCCTCTTAAGCCCTGTGCCTTCCGTTCTCTAAAACTCCTCCAGAGGGTTTTTAATTTGTTGGTCGGTGAGCCAAGAGTTAAAACAAGAGCACGAAGGCGGGCTTCCGTGACGTCACTAGCACCCCGTGTCCGACCTCAGAGACTGGGGCGTGGCTAACATCGCACTGTCCTCTCCCTCCCTATTCCCCCGCCCCTCCCCGCTGTCACCAAGCCAGGGGCACATGATGCAACCCGCCGCGATTTTAGCTGTTTGATTGGTGGCCGCGCCCGGCGCCAGGCACAGGGATTGGGCGGAGGAGACCGTGACGAAACCTGGACCCTGCCTTGTAAAGAAGGGAGGAGAGAAAGAAGAGGGAAGGGGGGGCCTCCGGGAGGGAGGGGGCTGGGGAGGCGGGGTCCCAGCTCTGTGCTCGCGCCCCCAGCGCGCCAGTCCGGGGGCTGCAGGGAGCGCAGCGCGCGCGGCCCGGGCCCCGGTCACCGGACGCCCTACCGGACACGACCCTCCCTGGAGCTTGGACAACTGCCCACCTCGGACACTGCACCGGACACTGCCCCCCGCAGGGCTGGACACTACGACGGACACTACTTCCCAGCTCCGGACATTACTCCCTCCTCTACCCCGGCCCTAGACGCTTTTCCCCCTCCCCCTCTGGGGGCCCAGACACTGAGCCCCCCTCAGACTCTGGCTAGCGTCCCCTTGCACCCCAGCGCCGGACATTGCCTCCTCCTTGTGCCCCTCTCCTCCCTCCCTTCCACCTCATCTTTCCCCTGCTCGGGTAGGAGCTGCGCCAGTTTCTCCGACCCCCTGCTGCTTGGCCGCTGCTGCCCGCTCCCCCATCCCCCCGGCTCCTCGCCCGGATGCCTCTCCCCGGGGGATTGTGGTGGCTCCTCTGCTGCCGTCGAGGCTTCACTCTTCTGCACCGGGACTACGGGGACGGCGAGCTTAGCGGGGACGGGGAGGAGGACGAGGACGAGGAGACCTTTGAGCTACGGACCCCAAGTCCAGAGGGCGGCGGGAGGGTAAGTCCCGGGGGGTTTGGAGCCTCGTCTCATTCCCTCTCACTAGAACCAGCCCTCACGCCTGATCCCGCTCCAGACTCCAGCCAAACGCCCCGCGCCAAACGCCTGGCGAACTGGGGACGTCGGGGAGGTTTTTGCCTGGGGTCCAAAGCCCCTGGGAGCTCAAGGAACAGCAGCCCTGCTCTGGATGTGCCTGTGGGCCTCGCGCCGCACGCTGGGCGCTGTCCACCTGCTGGGGGCCCTGAGGCAGGGGAGGCGTCACGCGTGGCCCGACCTGGCCCTGCCTCTCCCTTCCCTGCCGGGCCCGCGTCCCATCCCGTCTCCTTCCGCCTCTGCCAGCGCCGAGGAATGTGGCGAGGCCGGCTGGGCGGCTCGAACGCCTGGGTCCCCTCCGCTCCCAATTCTTGAGCGCTGGGGCCAGATGCGGGAGTTCCTGCTGCGAGGACCTGGTCGAGGGGAAGAAGGCGTCCTAGCATTGGGGTCTGTGGTGGGGACCCCACCCAGAGGGAGCTGGGGGCCATGGCTCTTTGAGGACCCCTCGTCATTACCCTGCCACTCAGGACAGAACTCTTGGCCTTCCCTGGTGAGGCTCCTGGGAAATCCCTGAGGGGATGGTGAGGGACATTTGGTTGCCTGGTTTTGTCGAATCTCCCTGTGGAGAAACTGAGGCACGATTGGTGTGGGAGACCTCCATCTCCTAACATTCCCTCCCTCATGCCCCTGCACACAGGCAACCAGACTCCTGTGTGCTGTAGCCGGGGTCATGCTCCCATCCCCCGCTCAGGGGTCTCCAGCAGGCCGGGTGGCTCAGTGCCCGGGTGGGGCGGGCTACGCCGCCGCCGCCGCCGCTGCCGGGCTCCGGCCAGCACCTGGCGGAGGCGGAGGGTGGATAAATATAGAGGGGGGGGAGGGAGAGAAGCAGGGGACTACGATTAGGGGAGTTGGTCAAGAGGGTGGTCAGTACCCGCCCCCATGGTGGTGTGGCTGAGAGCCCCCCACACACACACAGACCCTCCAGAAAATAGGTGAATGTTCACCTAGGGAAGGTGCAGGACCCAGACGTCCCCAAGCTTCCAGCCTGGGCAGGGTTGGCGCTGTCAACCAGGCCATTGCCTCCCTCATGCTCCACTTCCACCCCCCTCCCGGGAGCTTGGGGACAGGTGTCCCTGGCCCCCCTCCCCCACCTCCTCCTCCCGTCTGTAGCAGTCTGGGCGCAATATGAGGATGGCACAATTCCCGCCTGGCTGGCCTTTGGGTCGGGTTTGTGGCCTCTCTCAGACCCCAGTCTACAGTTGAAATTGAGGGGGAAGGGGTGGTGAGGGAAGGGCAAGACTCGAACTACACCTGCCTCCAGAGTGTGTGCCATTCCTTGGCCAGGCCCACCTTTCCTGAGCCCCAGCAAAGGGCAGGGCCTCTGCCGACCCTTGAGTCTCAGGGCTGTCTGTGGGACAACATAAGAAGCTCTTAGAGAAAGCCCTATACAGAAAGGGTTCCTCTTTCCTTCCTTCACCTCTGTGCCCACCACCTGTCCTCCCCTGGCCAAGGAGGCAGAGTGGGTGAGGGGAAAATGAGGAGGGAGTGACTTCGAGCCTGCCAGAGCCAGAGGGACTTCATTCACCTCTCTGGTTTCAAAGATGGGGAAACTAAGGCTCAGAGAAGGGAGAAGACTTGCCAAGTTTCCACAGTGAGTTAGTGGTGGGGCTGGTATTAGAACCCAGGTCTCCTGACTCCCTGCCCAGTGCTCTTTCCTCCCTACATCACCCCTGATTGTATCTTCAAAGGGTAACGGAGACAAGGCGTGATCCTTGGCTTCTTCACTGCTGCTCTTCTGTAGAGCTTGTTCTATAGAGACCAGAAGGAGGGGTGAGCCCAGCCGCTCCAGCGCGCTCGCCCCAGTCATGACCCCACTCCTCGACTCCTTCCTTAATCCCCCCAGCAGCGCTGACCTGGGGGCAGAAGCCACCAACATTAGGCGTGGAGGGCTTAGATCCTGAGAGCTCAGATCCTGCCTGTCTCCCCAGGGTCCCCTGGACGTGACGCTGACTCAGCCGGTGAGGAGCGGTCCTGTCTCCGACAGGTGAGCTACTATGGAGACCCCAGCCGGTTCCCGGGACCCCCATCCTCGCCGTCTTCCCTCCCGCGGTTGTGCAATAAGGGAGAGGCCCTGTACCGGACGCTGTGGTTTGGCTGGGGTCCCGGGGGGCGGTCCGGCCGGGGGCGCGGGGAGAAAGGGGGGGTCCGGGCTATTTCTGGTGCGAGGTCAGAACAGCCTGGCGGTTCCCACAGCCGGGGGGAAGGGTGTCCAGCTTGGGAGCAGTCACCTCGCGCAGTCTGGGGAGCCCCT